CTGCAGATACAGAGTCGTCTGCGGTTATTGATCGATCAGTCGTACCTGTCACTCTGACTGTGGACGAAGTCTCGGACACACAGCAGCGCCGCATCACGACACATTTCTCTGAGGTCACTTCCTGAGAAACCGTCTGTTTCCTTGGCAACGTCACTTAGATCCACTGACGAGTCGACCTGCAGAGAGACAGGAGCAATCAAACTCCAGTAAACTGATCGACCTGATCAGAGTCCAACAGGCCGACCAGAACCGGGCTGAGCTGTTTGGAGTCCGGTCAGCTCAGCAGCGATCACAAGAGTTTTAAACCCATTCACAAGATAAAATGGATCATGTGGACTGGTTGTGCTGCCGGTGGTGAACTCACGCTCTCGTTCTCCAGGATCAGTCCCAGGATCTGTTCTCGCTGTCGCACACTCTGCAGAACAAGAAGATCGTGAGTTGTGGTTCTGTTCCTCCCAGGTTCTGCTGGTTCTGCTGTTGGTGCTACATACCGGCTGGTTGATGTGGAACCTGGTGGGCATCCTCCTCAGGATGGCAGAGTCCAGGTCCTGGGGCCGGTTGGTGGCGCCCATGATGATCACCTGACACAAACCTCCATCAGTCATCTTCAGCAGACCACAACAGACCACGCCCACCCGAGACCACGCCCATGTGACAGGTGAGTGCCTACCTGGCAGTGATGGTCGGTGTCCAGTCCATCCCACAGACTCATGAACTGAGCCTTCATCATGGCCGTCGCTTCGTGGTCAGAACTGGAGCGACTCCTCAGGAACGAGTCTGTTCAAATGCAACCAGAGAGAGCTGACACCAGCTGGACAGAGCCGGTCCTGCAGCCACATGGGCCAGACCACACCCCCTTTCAACCAGGCCACACCCCTTATTAACTAGGCCACACCCCTTATCAACCAGACCACACCCCTCATGCGTTAGACTACACCCCTCATGCGTTAGACCACACCCCTCATGCGTTAGACCACACCCCTCATGCGTTAGACCACACCCCCTACTAACAGACCACTCACCGATCTCGTCGATGAAGATGATTGACGGCTGCAGCTTGACAGCCAATGAGAACACAGCAGCAGCCAGTTTCTGCGACTCTCCGTACCATTTGTCTGTCAGCGTGCTCGGCTGCAGATTGATGAAGCGAAACCCCGCCTCCTTGGCCGTCGCCTTGGCGATCAGCGTTTTACCACATCCAGGGGGTCCGTACAGCAGCACACCTGTTACCACGACAACAGGATGAGATTATGGTCTAGTAGAGTTCTGAACATCATCTGACACATTTCCTTTCTGCATTCAGTCCTCACAGAGTGGACAGGTGATTGGTTACGGAGCTGACAGGTGATTGGTTACGGAGCTGACAGGTGATTGGGTACGGAGCGGACAGGTGATTGGTTACGGAGCTGACAGGTGATTGGTTACAGAGTGGACAGGTGGGTGGAGCTCTGACCTTTGGGTGGCTGCAGCAGTCTGGATCCCTGGAACAGGTGTCTCTTCTGGACAGGTAAGATGACCGTCTCCTTCAGCTCGGTGATGACCTCGTCCAACCCAGCGATGTCCCTCCAGGTGATCTGCACACAGAGGTCAGAGGTCAAGTCTCACCTGTCGGACTGTCGGGACCAAACACACCTGGACAGAGAGGCTACCTGCATGCTCAGCGGATCCACCAGGTGAGCAGCGATGCTCATCTCGTACTCTGACAGCTTCACATTCTTCACTCCAATCTGACGCATCAGCTTCTCGGCCTGACGGACACAAAGAAACGGACCAATCAGAGACCGCTGTGGAGCTCTCAGCCGGTCACATGATCCTCTTCATGATGAGAATGAAAAAGGCGCAAAAACAGCCAGAAACGGTTCAAAAGGTTTAAATCACCTGAAATATCGGCCATGGAAACCAGGTGGACCCGATTAAGAGCTGCTAGCCATTTGAACTGTCGATTATTCTGCACATTTTTACTTATTTTTTGTGTATATTGTATAAAATACCTGAAAGTGGTTTAAAAAACAAAAACAAAAAAACAACTGAATAGTTTATTTTGCAAAAAACAACCCAAAGCCTCAGAATTTTCAGTTTAGTGCAACATAATGCAGAAAAAAGTGGAAAATCATTGATGAAAAGTTTGAATATTTTGCATTTACTGGCGAATCGTTGCAGCTCTAACCTGTTCGACTATAAATGACTATTTTACAGAAGACGGCTGTGATTTGTATTCATCAGTAGATCACTTTATAAAACAGGAAACGAGCTCTGTGGTGCACCAGTATGACAGAGAAATATTATGATGAGGATAAAACACTGATGATGATCCTGAAGGATTAAACCTGAACAATAAGTTCTGAGAAACAGGAGAATGAAGCTTTCACCGATCGATCAATAACCAATGAAACCTGAACCTGCCAACTGACCTTTGAAGAGCCGCAGCATTCATGAGGACAGTCGGACGAACACCAGAAATATCCGCCATATTTAAGAATAATTAACGATAACAACACCAACTGATGGATCCAGCAGCTCAGAAACAGTCGAATAATTGAAGCTTGTGCCAACAGGAAGTAGAAACCTGTGAACACCTGTTTAGATAAAATTTGCCGTCACCTGTTTCTGAGCCTCCACCTTCTGCTTCCTCGTTGGGTCGATGGCGTCCACCATCCACTTGATGGTGAAGTAGGTGACCGCTCCAAATATGGTCAGGCGGAAGAGCAGGCCGATGACCTCGTTCCTGCCCAGAGGACGGGCGATGTTCTCGGCGGGAACCTCCCTCAGCACCATGGCGACGCTCCGCTGTTCTCACAGTGCTGCAAAAACAGGTTTCACTCAAATCAAACGTCAGCGTGTGTTCAGAGGAATCAACAGATCAGCTTCAGTTCCACGGTTTCACTTTTTCTTTTACACTTCGATGACAGCCAAATGATGGAAATATTAAACTCCATAAAGTACACATTTAAGGTTATAAATGTTTTTGGTTCAAGCTGACTTGATAAACATCTTCTGTTAAATCATTTCTGATCTTTGTTCATCAGCTGACTGCACGTATTTCTAACAAAAAGCAAGAATGAGACAAATCATCAGATTTTTAAATGGAGTTTGGTGACAGTTTGTTAACTGACACTTATTTAAGTAACTAAACGGTTCTGATCATGTTGGACAACAGAACCAGAAGAGTCGCTTCCTGTCGTCAGTCCGGACCACGCAGGCTGGTTTCTCCTTGAACTGTTCTGTTCTGTTCGGGACTAGACTCAACTTTCCAACTTTAACCGGCACAAAAACTCATTTTGAATCCAGCCGCATTGAAAAGCAGCTTCCAGTGAGTCGGTTCTGATGTGCGGTTCGGTTTTCACAGATTTGTCTTTCGGACCGGAATTGAACAAGTACTAAAGCAGACAAATGTTAAACGGAATACGGTGGAATGTTCGCGGTTACATGGTGGTGTCTCATCTCCGGAACCGTCGGTACCAAACTACCTCAGCTGCCCTTCATCTGTCAGCGGACACACCGGGGTCCGACCTGGACCTCCGGAGGCCCTCGGGCCATCATTTGGGCCCCCCGGTGCCCGCATCATAAAACCGAACGGACCGTGTGGAGCGATGCTAGCTTTAGCATTAGCTTGACCTTCCGGGCTCCCCGGTGTAACGGCGCGGCTCGTTACCGGATAAAGGCGCGGATATCCCCGCCGCGGAGCGCCGAGGGCTCCGGTGACGCCGGGAGAAGAGAACACCGGGAACCGAGAGCTTCTCCGGTAAAATGAGAGCGCTCACCTCCCGCTGCAAGTCCGGTACTTCCTCGGTTTCTTCTTCGGAGGTTCGGTGCGGTAGAAGGATGCTCTTCTTCTACGGTTCGTTTACCGGAAAACCAAATTTAAGGCTCAGTACTGCCTCCTATCGTCTACTTTTACAGCACGACGAGCCAATTCTATGTACTGTTGCTTTGACTGCATGCAAAGAGAAAATACTGAGTATAGTTTACATTATTAGGAGCAACTACGGTGTACTATTACTGCATCAGGAAACAATACAGTGTACCTTTACTGCATGAAAAGACAATACTGTGTACTTCTCCTGCACAGACCCTCTACCCGGCAGTACTCGGTGCTGCAGTACCGCGCTGTGTCCTGCAGGTGTCGCTGTGGCTCCGCTGATGAGCTGCAGTCAGCAGAACCGTCGGTCTGCTCCCAGGCAGAGGTTCGTTCAGCGCCTCGTTCGGTGAATCACAGACGGTTTCCGGGTTTCCAGCACCGTTTGATCACCGGATCCATGAGCCAATGCATCCCCGGTAAACCGGCTGAGGTTCGGCCGAGGACCCGCCGCTGTGGCCGCGGGGTTTGTTACGTAACGTCGGCCGGTTGCCAGGTGTGACGCCTTCCCGCTGAGGATGATTGTGTATTTGGTGATGGAGGTTTTGAATGGTAGGATAAGGCCATCAGCACCTGGCAACCCCGCGCTGACAGGATGCGTTTGGTTTACAAGGAGCGTCATCAAGTCAGACAGTGACGCAGCAACACGGGGCGACGAGCTTTACAAAATAAAAGCACAGCTCATGCCGTCGAGGGGTGATGTAACCTGGATACGTCATTTACTAACAACTCAAGACATTCATTTAATTTTAAAAATACATTTAAACAGAAGTCTGATCAAATCCATCCATCCATCATCTCTACACCTTCATCCTCACCAGGGTCATGGGGGGGCGGAGCCTATCCCAGCTGACTCAGGGTGAAGGCAGGTTCACCTGGACAGGTAACCAGTCTATCACAGGGCTACACTTAGAGACAGACAACCAAGCACACTCACATTCACACCTACGGACAATTTACAATCACCAATTAACCTCAGCATGTTTCTGGACTGTGGGAGGAAGCCGGAGAACCCGGAGAGAACCCACGCTGCACGGGGAGAACATGGAGACTCCACGCAGGAAGATCCCGGGTGTCCTCACCGGGACGCCGACCGGCGACCTTCTGGCTGTGAGGCTAACGATGCTAACCACTGATCCACCTGCAGCCCAAGTCTGATCAATGAATTACTAAAATAAACTCAATTAAAGCTGCAAGCAGCGTTGGTCGGGTCCTCGGTCCGCGCTGCGACCTCATGCCCGTCTGACCCTTCTTCAAGTTAAACCTGCTTTCAGGTGAAGGAACCATGTTTGTGTCTCTGCTCAGCCTGTCAACGAGTCACATGACCAGCTGCACTGAGCTGTGATGATGTCATCGTTCTTCATGCCCCTGGCTGAGAGAGCTGAGAGTTTTACTCACTTTCTCTCTCCCATGCTGCCACAATTTTCACCAAATGTGTGTAAAAACAACATATTTTTGTGGTGAATCTTGTTAGGAAGCCCTCAGTGTCATTTTTAAAGCTGTAGGACCTTTAGTTTATTCTGTAGATGACCAACTGACACAGCATGTCAGCACATGCCCCCATAGACACCCATACAAAGTATGAGCCGAGGCTGAGGCAGCTCATCAACTTTAACGGCTCGCCATTCGAAAACCGGTTGAGAAACGCCAAATCCCTTCAGAACTTTTGTACATCAAGGCCTTCTCTGTCTCCTGTGCGATTTTCAAGTTGATACGATTTACGGTGTCAGACAAGATACGTTTTTCCCAAAAGATGTTTTCACTCATTTTCTTACTTTGAAAGGCAAATTGCTGACTTCCTGTTGGAGATAGGTCAGGGGTGTCATGCGGGATTTGTGGGTCTCATTGAGACGAAGGTTTTGGTGTTGGTTTGATCTCTGTACGACATTCCTACTGGGCGCTAGGGCCATTTTAGTGTGTTTTACTGTAGCTAGGTGGCGCTAGAAAGCTTTTCATTTTCTTTTTTTTCATTTTATCAAATTTTTCGCAGAGGCGGAGGTGCGTGCCAATTTCTGTGAGTTTTTGAGCGTGTTTAGGGGGTCTAATTAAGGTTTTCGCGTTGGTCAGGGAAATAAGAAGAAAGAAAGAAACAGAGCAGGAACAAGACGGTCCAAGGACCCGAATTATTCAACTAAAGTAGAATCTAAGTCCTACTGTGGCCTCACAGCGAGAAGGTCCTGGTCTGAGTCTGGGGTCTTTCTGTGGGAGTCTCCATGTTCTCCCTGCTGGGTTCTCTCTGGGTTCTGCAGCTTCCTCCCTCAGTCCACAGACATGCTGAGGTCACCTGGTGACTCTGAACTGTCTGTAGGTGTGAATGTGAGTCTCTGTGATGGACTGGTTACCTGCCCAGGTAAGCTGCCTTCAGTCAGCTGGGATAGACTCCACCCCCGATGCCCTGCAGAGGATGGAGAGTAGAGATGATGGATGTTAATGAAATCAGAGTGGGTTATCCAGGTTTGAGTAACACAACATTGTAAAGTACCAGAAGATGTGTTTAACATATTTAATGTGATGTAAACTCTTATCTACTGGATTCTAATGTTTCATCGCTGTTTTTTGTTATATTCTCTTATGTTTACAGGTACACTTTTTATGAATGTCTTATTATATTACGATCTTTGTTTTACAGGGAATTTATAGAACACAGTCAGTTTAATTTAGTTTCATGAGCAATATTACTATATTTATTCAGTCTCACTGCCAGCTTTACTGGTTTAGTACACTAGTTTTATTCATATATTTGTCTATGTTTCATTAAATGCCATACTGATGGCTGCCATTCTATTCGGTACTGCGTTTATTCTGATGTTATTCAAATTTTACTGAACAATATCTGACACAAGAATTTCCACCGGGTTCAGTAAGGTTCTGTCAGGTCTTTAAAAGGTGTTTAAAAGTCTTTGCTGTTGCTGTCGTGCTGTTTTCCGACAACCTGCGGTTTCTGAACTCGAGCTTAAACTCTCAAGTCTTAGCTCAGTCTTTTGTTTTGAAGGCGGCCGGATGCGCGCCGCTCCTGCCGCCGCCTTGACGCGTGCGTCGTCGCGTCTGCCGCTCTGCTCTGCCGCGCGGAGAGATTTTCTCTCCGCCGATCTGCGTCCAATCACGGCGGCTGTGCTGCGCTCCGAGGCCGGGAACAGTCCGACTGGATCCGTCCGACGCCTGGAGAACCGGCTCCGCACCGAGGAGCGACCCACGGATGGTTTTGTCTCCGGGCGGGGGACCTGGAAACCGGGGCCCGCAGCAGGAGCAGGGAGGAGGCCCCGACGCCGCCTTGTTCTGACCCAGAAAACAGCACCGACGGCCGGGCTGCCTGTCAACTAGCAGGCCGGCTAGCATCTGGCCGCACCGGAGCCCACAGGGAGGCACCGTGGAGGACGGATAACGGGCCCGTTCTTCAGCCGTTAGGATCCAGTCTTTGGCTCGTGTATTTAACGGGAGATTGTTCTGCTTTATTTTACTCTCCCGTAAACCTTCCGGACCTCGGGGGCTGCGGTGAGCTAGCTCCGGGCTAGCTGCCCCAGTTAGCTTCTCCCCCGGCAACCAGAGAGCGGAGGCTCCGGAGGAGGGCAGGCGGTCTCGGTGCTTTCTGACCCGTTAGCAGACCTCACCGGAGGCCGGGGACACCAAAAATGGCTGCCGCCTTAATCAAAGAAATCGTGAGCAGGAATAAAAGGCGATACCAGGAGGACGGCTTCGACCTGGACCTGACCTGTATCCTTCACTGGGGTTCGCGCAGAAGTCCGTTCAAAAATGTTGCGATTCACTGACGCGGCTCACATTGACCCAGAGCCGAGCTGCTGTTCGCGTCGCTGCATGAAACCGTCAGAAAAGTCCCGACTTTTACTGTCCCGGCTCACAGCTGGAAGCTGTAGCTGCGGTGATGAATGTGAAAAATGCAGAAACTGGTCTGAAGTCAGTTTCCGTCCGTGGAGGTGATGTTCGGCTGATGTTCTGCTAATGTTCGGCTAATGTTTGGCTAATGTTCTGCTGATGTTCTGCTAATGTTCGGCTAATGTTCTGCAGGTTCTGGCAGTAGTTAAACGTTTCCTGCTTCATGTTAACGTATCCGTGAGTTTGCCTTAAATTGGCCGTTTTCTAAACGGACCTCGCAATGGGCTGCTGTCCACAGGTCTGGACGGAGCTAGCTGAAGTTAGCAGCCACTTATCTCAGGTGTGTTAGCAGTGATGCAGGTGAAGGCATTAATTAGCTTGTGGGCTCTTTTATGTGTTTTACAGCTAAAGATATCAGCTGCTAGCTTAGCATGCTAGCAGCTGGATGTAGCTCATTTAATAAAGTCACATTTAGCGACCGGACGTGTCAGGTGTAGAAGGTAAAGACTCATTCAGGCTTCAGGATATAATCAGCTGTACATATGAAACGCAATATTGGTGATTGATTAGTACAACAAATCACTCGCAGGTTTCAGCTTCTGAAGTGTGAATATTATTTGATTTTGTTCTTATTGAGTGACACTAAAGTGCTGGTTTCCATGTAGGTAGATAATTAGAGCTGCACTGGTTCGTCCATCAGTTGTCGACCACTACGCCTCCTGTTCTGACAGTCGGTCAGTTAGCTTGGGTCCTTTTTTCATTTAAACATTCTAACTCAGGGGTGTCCAATCCTGGTCCTGGAGGACCACAATCCTGCATGTTCTAGATGTGTCCCTCTTCCAACACACCTGATTCAAATGATCAGCTCATCATCAAGTTCTGAGGAAGCCTGATAACGATCCTGATCATTTGAATCATGTGTGTTGGAAGAGGGACACATCTAAAACATGCAGGATTGTGGCCCTGGAGGACCAGGACTGGACACATCTGATCTAAAGTGTGCGACTGCTGAACATGTTTGGATAAAGCGAACTCTGATCCACAGTAGTTTTTACCATTTTCTGATATTTTAGACACAGTCAGCTGATTGATTGTTCCAGAACATGAAGTGATCATTAATTGCTGATTTTGAACGAACCTTTATGAAACCAAACTCCATTTGACAAAGTTCTGATGGAACGCAGAGCGATGAGTGAATCCTGACTTTTAGCTGTGATCTGGTCGCCTCCAGCAGATTCTAGGAGCAGCTGTCCTGTGGCGTTCAGTCGGGGGTTTTTGTAGTTCAGCAGGTGGAGACTCTTCTGGAAACATGATCAGCTGATCGCAGCGCTCATCAATCAGTCAGAAGACACTCGTTAGGCGCAGTTTGAAGCCACTGATTGGATGTTTGAGGGTTCTCTCCAACACAGCGGTGGTTCCTGTGTAGCAGCAAAGGGACTCGGCTCACCTGAGGTCGTGTCCAGGTGCGTTCAGGTGAATACTTCTCCCAGGTGTTTCCTGAACACAGCGAGCAGACATTTATCCAAACATCATTGCGATGGGTTTCCCTGCCGAGCGTCTGGAAGGAGTTTATAGGAACAACATCGACGACGTAGTTCGGTGAGTTTACCGTCGGTTCTTCTTTAACCTGTCGATCGTTTTGTCACAGGTAGAAACACAGAGTTGTCGCTTTGTGTGTCTGCATCAACACTTGCACAGTCATTTTTTTTAAAAAGTCTTTTTTGGTCATTTTACTGTAAACTTATTCCATTATGAGCAATACAACAGTTTAGACTTGACTTGTCCAGTGAAGCAGATCGTAGACTCATAGTGAAGCGATGCTGTGTTAAAGCAGGAGGAGGCTGGACGCTAGCCTCACATCTGGCTGCTCAGGTAGAAGCTGCTGTAGAAACGGTGCCATCATGGAGCTTTCAGGCCTCAGACTGAACCTGAACCTCCTCTTTTGAGGCCTCCAGGGTTTTCTGTGCGTGTGAAAGTCATCAAATACGGCGTCTATATAAATATTATGAATATATTGTGCTTTACATCACAGTGAATTTAATTTGGCTTTCATGTCAAAGTAAAAACAAAGCGATGAATTCAACTTGAAATGTGGTGTAGAATTAATGAGGCAGATTAATCTCCAACATCATGAGCACTGTGGTCTCAGCCTGTTATTGTCATCAGGTAAAGCAGTGTTCCATGTGTTTTTAGTAGAACTGTGATGATGAACATTCAGGGTCGACCCACTGAAATCAACCAGAGTGTGTTTTATCAGATGTCATCCTGCATCGATCCCACAGCGTTACAGCAAGAAAAGAATCTACAACCCAGAGGCCAAAGGGCAGCTGGTATCGTGCAGGTTTTTGTAGAAAATACAGGTTTTAAACAGATTCCTCGACACATAGGCAGAGTGACAGTCTCATAAACGTGGAGAATAATCCACAGGCTGAGATGTTCAGTCGATGGAGTGAACCAAGAACACTGCAGATTAAAACCTGCTCAGACTGGGCGATGCAGGAAAAAGCCTCTGTGTGTGAAGACTAATGCTGGACGATTGTTGGTTTCCCTGGCTCTGGTTTTTGTGGAAATGCTTTTGTGATGATGATAAATTAAAAAAAGCAGCTTGAGAGTCGTGATGTGGACGAGCGCAGCAGCTCGGCTCCGGTCAGCTGTGGCTTCTGGGTTCTATATTTAGACTCTGTTCTGATGTAACTGATAAATGAAAGAACAGTTTACTGTGTTTTATATTAATATTTGAATATTCTGCTCAGTTCAAGTGAATGTGAGGGCATCAGAAGTATTAAAGAGTGAAATAAAAGCTCCTTTCACCTGTTTGTTTGTGTCTCCTTCAGGTTTTTAGATTCAAAGCACAAGAACCACTATAAGATCTACAATCTGTAAGTACAGACTCGCTGCCCTTCCTTCTTTTACTCTTTCTTTGAAGGGACTCTGGCTGCAGCTGTGGAAAAGCTTTGAGTTCAATCCTCCCAGAACCGCCTCAGAAGGAATTAAATCTGTGAAGTTTGCGTATGAAGCGAGAGGCTGAGAGGAGACCACAGTCATCGCTCCTCATCTCTGAATGAGCAGAACGAGCTGAAACCAGGATGCTCTAACAGAGCTCCTCGTAAACACCTGCAGGTCTTTGTGTCATGTCCAGCGAATCTGTGGGACGAGTCCAGATTCAGCTGCTGTAGCGTCTGTACACGACAGAACAGTAACGTCACAGGAACAATGAGTCACGAATTAAACTGTGAAAAGGGTTGTTCAGAACAACAGAAGCTAAACTGGTTCTTTACAGCTGAGCTTTGGTGGTTTTACAGCTTCAGCAGCAGGTTAATGTTTCACAGAGCTGTAAGCTCTCAGCTCCTCCTGACTCATCTCACCGAGGTTCATGTTCCTCTGCAACATCAAGTCCAGCAGCTCTGTGGAACCAGAACATGAAGGAGGAGACAGAACCCAGAGACGTCTGCTGTCAGCAGGACTCAGAACCACGGAGACCAGAGAGAACTCAGAGACCACCTCTGGCCAAAACAATTACAAAATGTTTTTAAAAAAAA